ATACTTTACATTTGTACATCAATATTAATCGTTATACAAACATATATGTGAAGTGTGTGTATTTAACATTACACTTCCGATCTAGAAATGATATATGGATTCTGAATCTACAATGTGGAATACAGTGCATGGAAGGCTTTTCACCACCCAAAATTATCATCACGATTCCAGGTCATAGAGTCTTACGTATATTGCATGTCGTAATCACATCGAATTCGTTGTCACTTAAACCTTCATCCATTACGACGTTCTGGCTAGCAGGCCAAACATTGTCGGCAATTAGGCAACAATATTCTGTATTACACCAGGCTTCACGAGTTCCTAGTATGTTCAATCCATGTTAAAGACTAGTTATTGTTTATATGTATACCGCTATTCCATATTTACAGAGAACTATTCTGTTGTTGTAAAATGTGTTCCATATAAAACATAAAAGGGAAATGTCTCTATAAATAAACGCACAAACACACACACGCACACCACACACACACACACACACACACACACACACACACCATCCTGTTTTTTTAATTCTTACATATTTTAATCAGTTGTTTTGATCGTATTCTATGGCAGGTCAGGTAAAGATGTATTCAAGGAGCAATTGAGATATTGTATATCGTATAAGTATGCAAAATCTTATTGAATTATGAAATTTGGAAGCTAGCTTGGAGACTCTATTTCATCATTGATGATATTTCATAAATTCAAGTCTTTAAGCCCGTTCGTATGGAAAGCCACCGTTCACCGGTAACTCGGAATTTCATGAAAGTAGAATTTTCCAACAAGGTGATATATAACATAGACATCAGTACTAGCCTTCACCAACAGTCTGTCAAGCTCATCTACAACCGTAATAACATATAAAAGTACCCCATGTATTTCGTACAGTTTTTCTCAAATCATTGCTTCCGAAATTATTAACTTCAAGCCAATGCTTCAAGTCTTTCTTTTTTTTAAATTTTAGATATTTTTAGAATAAATCCTTCTTGTGCATATTCTTATTCTACACCTCCATACGACTTTAGTCCAGCTAGGCACCTTCTTCACTGACGATCCATAGTATAAAGCTACGACAACGGTCCTACAGTGTAAGTATGGGAAGACTGCTACCATCAATTCAAATGTGAATTTTAAATACTGATTGATTCTTTCACTGACGATCCATAGTATAAAGCTACGACAACGGTCCTACAGTGTAAGTATGGGAAGACTGCTACCATCAATTCAAATGTGAATTTTGAATACTGATTGATTCTGTGACAGACTACGCCAGACAGTGAGCAAACCAAGGGCATATTGACTTGGATACACTTTCAGGATGGATTCAACCTACTAGTTCTTTTCTTTAACAAATTAATTATAAGTTTGAAATGCAAAAATGAAAAAAAGAACGTCTATAGTTCTTGACAGCGATGTCAAAACTACACTAAGGCATCAGCGGGTTCCATTTGTAACTGTGTCTGCAGACAAAGAATCTGAAACCTACTCCTGGTGTGCGAACATTATTACACTTCCTGCTCGAACAAAAGTTAGGCTTGCTTAGTTTCAGGCCATCCTACTTATATTTACCAACATACTGTAACCATAAATACAAACCAATTATGCTTTTGTATTACAATCTTTCCAAACACCGCATAATGATAAGGAAACGGACGTGCCTTTTTGTAATGGATTCCACAACTTCACAAGAATCCTCTTTTATCTCCGGCTCAGCTCTAGCTCATCTAGGCCATCATCAGAACGTCTTCCACCCTGTCTTAGTACCATTAAGTCGAAGTTACAGTCTTGGAGTGTGAGGTAGAACGGGTGGAATGTAAATCATGAAAACTTAAAGGATCTTTTTATCAATCTTGAGCATCTGTTTCTTCTATCAAAACATTTCACACACTTTACACTATCATACATTAAACGAAACGCTTTCTGTCTCTTTTCCAGCGAAGACGAACATAGCTGAGGATGAAATCGTGAGTTCCTATTTGGTAATATTGTTGTTGAAGTTGGTGATAAAATGTTCTTACAGACAGTTGACATTCCTACTGACCGAAATAATGCATCTCTTCTGACTAACGATTCCCATATATTAATGAAGCTGAAGTTTGTAGGAGTTCATTCAGACTAGTAACAAACACATAGCCAAGTCCTTCAATATCACATTCAGATGTATCGACGATATGTTGTCGTTAAATTACAAGAACCACTTGCTCGTATATACCCTACTGGGTTGAAATCAAGGACTCTACCTTCTACTTTAGCAACTTTGCTTAATCTTTATTTACAACATGACCAACAGGGACGACTTACTTATACATTTGTAGTTGTTCGGTAAGCGTGAATATTTCGATTTTCTAATTGTGAAGTTCCCATTTCTTCATAGTAACATACCTGCTTTTGCAACGTATGGTGTTTGCATGTCGAAAATTATTGGGTATACAACATATGGTGTTTACATGTCGTAGATTATTGGGTATACAACATATGGTGTTTACATGTCGTAGATTATTGGGTATATAACATATGGTGTTTACATGTCGTAGACTATTGGGTATACAACATATGGTGTTTATATGTCGTATATTATTGGGTATACAACATATGGTGTTTACATGTCGTAGATTATTGGGTATATAACATATGGTGTTTACATGTCGTAGACTATTGGGTATACAACATATGGTGTTTATATGTCGTATATTATTGGGTATACAACATATGGTGTTTACATGTCGTAGATTATTGGGTTTATAACATATGGTGTTTACATGTCGTAGATTATTGGTATACAACATATGGTGTTTACATGTCGTAGATTATTGGTATACAACATATGGTGTTAACATGTCGTAGATTATTGGGTATACAACATATGGTGTTAACATGTCGTAGATTATTAGGCATACAACATATGGTGTTAACATGTCGTAGATTATTGGGTATATAACATATGGTGTTTACATGTTGTAGATTATTGGATATACAACATATGGTGTTTACATGTCGTAGATTATTGGGTATATAACATATGGTGTTAACATGTCGTAGATTATTGGGTATACAACATATGGTGTTTACACGTCGTAGATTATTGGGTATACAACATATGGTGTTTACATGTCGTAGATTATTGGGTATACAACATTTGGTGTTTACATGTCAGAGATTATTGGGTATACAACATATGGTGTTAACATGTCGTAGATTATTGGGTATACAACATATGGTGTTTACATGTCGTAGATTATTGGTATACAACATATGGTGTTTATATGTCGTAGACTATTGGGTATACAACATATGGTGTTTATATGTCGTAGACTATTGGGTATACAACATATGGTGTTTACATGTCGTAGATTATTGGGTTTACAACATTTGGTGTTTATTTGTCGTAGATTATTGGGTATACAACATATGGTGTTTATATGTCGTAGATTATCGGGTATACAAGAGATTGCTCCGAATAACATGAAGTCCATGACTGATGTCGACAGCTGAAAGAAAAACAAATATTTTTCCAAAACTGCAGGTTGATGAGACTATGGACTAATGGTGTCCATCATGATCTCGTTGGGAAATATGGGTTGTGTTCGTGCAATATGAAGGTCGATGCTATTTTTATAATTCTCATTAGTGTGCATTTTAATTTTGTTGTCACTTTCCCCCACGCTTTTGCTAAGAGAAAGTGACTATACTTGGATTTGACTTAGATTTAAATTTGAAGTGTCGTTGATGAAACAGAAAACGCGTAACCTTTCTAAACATGTTAATCTTGTCATATATTTCAGTAGTTTGTATATAATTTATTTCTTTGTTCATATTTTGCCTTATAGTTTTATCGATTTTAAGTTCGAGTTCTGCTGAAATGAATCAAACATCAAAGCGTTTGATTCAACAACATCACGTGACGTCAGTTGTTCCTGTGTTGCTGTTCTAGTTATAGGCATGGCCTAGCCGATACAGCGGGGAATTTTACATTGTAGGGGGAAATATCAATCATTATTGCAATTGTTAATCAAAACAAAAACAATAGCAATAAACTTCATAGATGTGGCAGACATCTGGCGAGCTAAAATGAAAAATTCTTGGCGAGTTTCATAAATTTCATATGAAATGATAACGAGTGTAAGATCCTTTTTATCACATAATCAAGATTTGTGGCATTTATTCGTGTAAAACGAAAATTTGCATGCAACCTTGAAAAAACGCCATTGTGACTCCACTGCGTAAGTCTGTGACGTCATGTACTTGTTCTATGCGTGACGTCACAAATTAAACAATTGAAACTTACAACCATTCACAGGGCTGATAGGTCATATTACATGGGTTAATACGCAATTAAATATGACATTGGTATATTCACTGGATAACACAGTTCTACATTATGTGATAAAAATTTGTTTTTGAAAATATGTCTTTAAAATGTTTCGAGCTTATTGCCCGATGCAAATATAGCCGTCCTACATTTAGAGTGTAGTCATGCGGTTTTCGTTTTGTTTTTGTTATTTTGTTTTTAAGTCTGGTCAATAAATCCGCAGTTTATGTACCCAGATGATACCATACAGTTTTGAAAAGTGAAAGACATTAAGGGAACAGTTCATTCGGTTCATGACAGTTTAAACATCATAGGTATCTCTCGGAGAGGGCAAAAAAAGCTTGCCTATGCCGCAAGACTTTTCTCTGTACAGGACTGACACCTACTCGACCACCACAAGACAACTCTCTATAGTAGGAAGATTATATTTTTTTCTTGTGCATTAAACATGAACAGTATAAGAAACTTGTCTCTAAACCTTTCTGCTTTTACTTGCTGGTACAATGCGACACTAACGGGCGCATTTCAGCAAATGTAATCAGCATGGCTGTGTTAACTGATCTGTAATCAGCATGGCTGTGTTCACTGATCTGTAATCAGCATGGCTGTGTTTACTGATCTGTAATCAGCATGGCTGTGTTTACTGATCTGTAATCAGCATGGCCGTGTTCAATGATCTGTAATCAGCATGGCTGTGTTCAATGATCTGTAATCAGCATGGCTGTGTTTACTGATCTGTAATCAGCATGGCTGTGTTTACTGATCTGTAATCAGCATGACTATGTTCACTGTTCTGTAATCAGCATGGCTGTGTTCACTGATCTGTAATCAGCATGGCTGTGTTCACTGATCTGTAATTAGCACGGCTGTGTTTACTGATCTGTAATAAGCATGACTGTGTTCACTGATCTGTTATCAGCATGACTGTGTTCACTGTTCTGTAATCAGCATGGCTGTGTTCACTGATCTGTAATCAGCATGGCTGTGTTTACGAACATTTTCATCTCAAATGACGTCGACTGATCCACGTTAAACTGTCTGTTGCGGGATAATTCCATTGATGAAGGTGTTGATGTCACCTTCTGTATTGATCCCCACGACAGATTCTCCACCACCCCTCACTACAGATTCCTCACCACGCACACGACAGATTCCCCACCACGCCCAACGACAGATTCCTCACCACGCCTCACGACAGATTCCCCACCAACCCCCCCCACCACAGATTCCTCACCACGCCTCACGACAGATTCCCCGCCACGCCTCACGACAGATTCCCCACCACGCCCCACTATAGATTCCTCACCACGCCCCACGACAGATTCCTCACCACGCCTCACGACAGATTCCTTACCACGCCTCACGAAAGATTCCCCACCACGCCTCACGACAGATTCCCCACCACCTCCCCCCACCACAGATTCCTCACCACGCCTCACGACAGATTCCCCACCACGCCCAACGACAGATTCCCCACCACGCCCCACGACAGATTCCCAAACACGCCTCACGACAGATTCCCCACCACCCATCACTACAGATTCCCCACCACCCTCACGACAGATTCTCCACCACCCCTCACGACAGATTCCCCACCACGCCTGACGACAGATTCTCCACCACCCATCACTACAGATTCCCCACCACCCTCACGACAGATTCTCCACCACCCATCACGACAGATTCCCCACCACGCCTCACGACAGATTCCCCACCACGCCCCACGACAGATTCCTCACCACGCCCAACGACATATTCCTCACCACTCCCCACGACAGATTCTCCACCACCCCTCACGACAGATTCCCCACCACGCCTAACGACAGATTCTCCACCACCCATCACTACAGATTCCCAACCACCCCTCACGACAGATTCCCCACCACGCTCCACGACAGATTCCTCACCACCCCTCACGACAGATTCCCCACCACGCCTCACGACAGATTCTCCACCACCCCTCACTACAGATTCCTGACCACGCCCCACAACAGATTCCCCACCACACCCGACGACAGATTCCTCACCACGCCTCACGACAGATTCTCCACCACGCCTCACGACAGATTCCCCACCACGCCCCACGACAGATTCCAAACCACTCCTCACTACAGATTCTCCACCACGCCTCACGACAGATTCTCCACCACGCCTCACGACAGATTCCCCACCACGCCCCACGACAGATTCCAAACCACTCCTCACTACAGATTCTCCACCACGCCTCACGACAGATTCTCCACCACGCCTCACGACAGATTCCCCACCACGTCTCACGACAGATTCCCCACCACACCCCACGACAGATTCCTCACCACGCCTCACGACAGATTCCCCACCACGCCTCACGACAGAGTCTCCACCACCACTCACTACAGATTCCTGACCACGCCCCACGACAGATTCCCCACCACACCCGACGACAGATTCCTCACCACGCCTCACGACAGATTCTCCCCCACCCCTCACGACAGATTCCTCACCACCCCTCACGACAGATTCCCCACAACGCCGCACGACAGATACCCCACCACGCCCAACGACAGATACCCCACCACGCCCAACGACAGATTCCCCACCGCGCCCGTTGACAGATTCCCCACCACGCTCCACGACAGATTCCTCACCACCCCTCACGACAGATTCCCCACAGCGCCTCACGACAGATCCCCAACCACCCCTCACGACAGATTACCCACCACGCCCAACGACAGATCCCCCACCACGCCTCACGACGGATAGCCCACAACGCCTCACGACAGATTCCCCACCACGCCTCACGACAGATTCCCCACCACGCCTGACTGAGGATAGTTAGGATCTGTGACTTTCCAGGGCTTTGTACACCATTAATTTGGTAAAAGATGAAATATCTGTGAACATATACGCCCACCATATTTGTCATTATAAAGGCATGACACGATAATGTAAAAGATTGTCTCTCTATGGCGATTCGATGTTGATTCAACATATTCGTAACGGGTGTATCAGGTATCATTTTGATATGCATACTGTTTTTATTATCATTTTTATTACAATACTGACAGGCATATTTATCCTCTGATTTTCGTACGCTAACTGTTTGAGAAATTCAGCAATATATAGGATGGCTGTGAACATAGTTAAATACCATGTGGTGAATGCTTTGCACTGCGTAACGAAAGATAACGAAGTGAGGACAAAACGCACACGATTGCACACATCTACACCAAGAGGGTGGTTTTGCTGTACTTTGGGTGTCAATATCCTGGTATATGCAAAATAAAATGTGGTTACATCGCGGTAAATAACGAAACAACTTTTATAAATTAAATTTGCAATAAAAACAAAATCAAAAAACAAAAATCTTTCAACATATTTATTTGTTTTTCTTCACGTGTTATTTTACAAAAGACAGTACAAAATACAACTTGCATACTCTCTTGCTCTCGCACTTTGGATATTTAAGGAGAATTTTCGAATTCCCATCCTAGTACCTGTGTGATTCGAAAATTGGTTAATACACATCTCGGGCGGCAATCGAATTAGGTAAAGTTATAGGTGCATATATTGATAAATACTCAATATTTGGTAGATAAGCTATGGTATCATTAAGTTAGAAAAGAGTCTCTATTTTTGGAGAAAGGTATTTTGCTTCCCTTTACATGATGAGAAATATTTTTCCACTTTATATTTGTACACTATATTTCACTTTACACTTTCTAGAAAAAGTGCATCACCTTTCATACGTTGTTTGTAAATGTAATATTTAAAAATTAGCATAATAAGGTTAAACAAAATTGATAATGATAAAATGCAGTACAAAAAAGGCACAAATAAGTCGCCATGTCGCATTGATATATTACGCATGCCGACAAAATAATTTGTCGAATTTTTCGATAACAATTTTTCATATCTAAAAGTGTTATCGAACTGTAGAATGGTTGTAAGTGTCTTGATTAGTCATTGGAATGAGTACAACTATACACCATGTCATTTTAAAATGATCATACCTATATATGGGAAAGACAAAACCGCTTTCATCTCGTTTCATCAGGAAGATTTCACAAAATATGTTGTTTTACGATATCAGTTGCTATGTCATGCCAGCGGTGAACCGTCGGTTCGTCTTCTTCTCATTGTGCACTTAATCTGAAGAGTACATTATAGAGTGGATGGATGTCGGCACCAATCGTTGTATCAGAGCACAATAGGATAACAAGTAACCCATGCCGAACCGAGGTGGTGTGCATGACCGGAAGTGTTCAGAGCTGGAGTGCAGCGAGCTATCATTTATCGATGGACCGAATTTGATTTTAAACACGGTGGACAGAATATATCTAAACATCATACACGGTTTCAAAATATGTATATGCATATAACATATCGTTTCTCTCAACAAAACATCTCATCCGAGACTGGTATCGGGCGAACCAGTTTATAAATCGTTTTGCATAACAAGCGAATGCTTGTAATACTGGAACACCGACTTCCAATCAGCGTATGTAGGAACACGGCAAGCGATAAAAGAAAGCAAGAGTTATTTCCCTTCACTGCCTAACTTACACTTATAACAAAGATGTGCATTACTTTGGCGAAGTCTCGTGTCCCGTTGCCGAGAGAAGTGACTTGTGAATTGACGTCACCGCCAATTCATAGAACAAATATCCTTGTCAGACTCCCCTACAAATATCTATGCCAGTCTCAACCCTACAAACATCCGTCAGTCTCTCCTACAAATACCCCCGTAAGTCTGCCCTACAAATATCCCTGTCAGTCTCCCGAAAAAGTACACCCCTGAAGCTCCCCTATGAATATCCCTATCAGTCACCCCTACAAATATCCTTGTCAGTCTCCCGTACAAATATCCCTGTCAGTCTCCCCTACAAATATCCCTGTCAGTCTCCCCTACAAATATCTCGGTCAGACTCCCCTACAAATATCCCTCCAAATCTCCCCTACAAATATCCCTGTCAGTCTCCCCTACAAATATCCCTGTCAGCCTCCCCTACAAATATCCCTGTCAGTCTCCCCTACAAATATCCCTGTCAGTCTCCCCTACAAATATCCCTGTCAGTCTCCCCTACAAATATCCCTGTTGTAGTCTCCCCTACCAATATCCCTGTCAGTTTCCACTACAAATATCCCGGTCAGTCTCCCCTACATTGACGGAACCATATGACCAATAGTCAAGTTTCATATGTCGACCTGAAGTTCAGCCTACTGCTATATCGCCCATCAAAAATGTTACATTCGCCAATATTCAATTCTTACAGCGAGATATGAGAGTTGTATCAGCGTGCCACATCTCTGGTTTTATATTGATTTTACGTATATGGAAATACAACTGACGTGTTCATTATAAATGTTTATCTCTGGCATCTCTTCATTTATGTGGAGGACGCTTATCACGATCATTTCTGCCAACAGGGGGAGCTTATCGCAAGCTTATCTAATCACGTGATCGATCTGGCGCCTATTATCAGACCAACATCTCTCTTATCTCTCCCCAAAGACCATTACTCGCATCGTCGCCTTAGAAACAAGATGGCGATGATTAGAAATTGAACGAATATTAATAAAGTCCCACAATGAGATCAGGTGGATCAAATATATTTTGTAAATAAATTCCAGGTTCTGCAACATGATCAAATGCTGACTTGCCCGCAGCTAACGCCAGTGTGAATATTAAATAAGGCAACACTTGTTTGAACCCGAACAAATGAGTGTTTGGGACGTGTGGAAAGTCTATGATAATTACGAGACATAAGAGACCGTATCTGGTAGTATCGGGTTTAATTTGATAATAAAGCCCGTACACAAAGCAAGTGTTACAATGCTAGGCTCGCTACACGTCTTATCAACATACAACATCTCGATGTGGAAAGATTTCTTTTAGAGAAATTATTGCATAATAGCTTTGTAATTGAAGTTCGTTTTGTTCGCAATAAAATGTAAAATGATTCACTCGAAACTATTGAGGTAAACGTCTATCCAGCGTAGTCATCTTTCACATTTACAAAACTGATCTATACAAAACCGAGATGATAGGCATACGTCAATATTCACTTTACAAGTAATTAACAACGGCAAAGAAAGGTGTATGTACCGGCAGATGAGCGCGGGCGATGATAACCTGTACAGGCAGTTCTCACACTACGTGGGAGCACACATCCGTCAATAGAATTGTCGTATATCTAAGTTTGATTTTAATTTAGCTGATTTAAATTGCAAATTTTGATTTAAGATTTGCTTTAAATCCGGGATTACTGATAACAGTAAGTAAATCAGATAAAGTTTTACAAATTTCTGTTCAATTGGCCCTATCAACATAATTATGTTGATCGTAAACTGACGAGTCGGCAACAATATACCTGTAAATATATTGAGAGGTAATATATTGTAAATGGGAAGAGGAGGAGGAGGAGGAGGAGGAGGAGGAGGAGGAGGAGGNGGCGACAGTGAGGATGGAGAGGAAGAACATAAAAATGCAAAGGAGGAGGAAATAAAGACGAGAAGGTAGTGGAAGGGGGGGGGGGGGGGAAAAAGGGGGGGNAAGAGAAAAGAATGAAGACGGCGATGATAGAGAAGAAAGGGAGTAGTGAGAGGAGGGGATTAAATCGGGGTTAAGAGAAGAAAGGAGAGGACGAGGACTGACATGAGGAATAAAAAAGAAGTAAATATATACTTATCATCAAGCATACAGGAGCACACGTGCTATTCCAACGCATTCTCCACCCTGAAGTGGATACCTAACCTTCCAGCCCCACCCAGTCAACTCTTCGTTAAGCATATAACTTCTCACTGAATGTGATTGATTACAAAAGTAAACAAACGGACATGAACAAGAAATGTTTTGGTTGAAGAAAAAAACGATAAACATTCATATCAATACAAACAAGTTTTTGTTACAGATATGTCAAGGTTGAATGAAGTGAAATTACTGAAATTATGATCATTTTATTTCAGAAAGCTGTATTCCTACACCCTTAGCATCATACTTTTTTAAAACACAATTTACATATAAAGCTGAGCTAGCATGTACTTACATATATAGACAAGACAATTTTGTCCACGATTCAAAATCCTAACAGACATATTGTTACATGAGTAAAGAATGACATGATTGCCCATGAACTTTACGGCAATCTACTGATACGTTTATGGATACATGGGCAATATGAATGCATAGACATAGTGTTTAAAGCCAAAGAATTGCCTTTGTTGACTTTATTTTTATAAAGTATCTTAATGTTGTTAAGTGTTGACTGTATATCGGTACACATAGCACAACAGTGAAATGTTAATGTGTGAG